TTCTTAATACTCCTTTGTTTGACGCCAATATTTCCACATTTCATATAATTTAATTTAATTCGACTTTCCAAACAGATGGCAATCCTGTTCAAATTATTTTTAAAGCAAAACCTCATTAGACCTTTTTCGTCTGTCACTTGTATTGCGATACATAAATTAAATTATCTACTCCTCTTAATTCAATTTGAATTTAATTATAAAATCAGGTGGCAACCCTACATGCAGTTTGGGAATAAAGTTTCTTCAAAGCAATTTTGATTTATATTCACATTGAAGTAATTTGTTGAACCTATTGCTTATATTGAATCTAACTTTGCAACAAGGTGGCAACCCTTCCATATCCATGACATAAACTAAAACAAAAACACACCACATTAACTGTAATCAACATATGTAGATATGCATGTATTCACAATGTAAATTTTACATACATACGCTGCGATTAGGTTATAAATATTGCGCCATCTGTTACTCAAAAGGCGAAATACGCACACACACACATACTTTTTGTCTCCTTCTCTAACTTTCAGCGTAAGCACGTGTCTGCAAAATGATGACGAACTGATTTTGTATGGACAATCATTTATGCCCATATATTTATTTGAATAAAATAAACATGCTTAGAAGATATCAACCAATACACCCCATATACCAAACGAAAGGAAACAACTTGAGTTTTTGATTAAGGAAAACAAGAACAAAAGTATTCGAGCGGTTTTCGAGCATTTTGGTAATAAAAAAATGTGCTAATTTTTTCAACAATTTTTTGCCTTAAAATGCTCTATATTTGTTGAATTTAAAAAAAATTTCTTCAACGATAATATTTCTACTGCTCCAAAGAACCTACATCCCGAAAGTGAAGGTTATACATGTTATCTGCAAATCAAAAGTTGCTAGAGCACTTTAAAGACCCAAAATTTACCCAGAAATAAGCCAATATTTATCGTTGCTTCTACAACAGACACCGAATTGGTTACTTACAGAAATATACCTGTCGATAGGTTTCGAATTTTGTCTTTGAAACGCCACACTTTTCTTTGAAATCGCTTTACTAGTTCTCGTGCAATAAGCGTTTTCGTGAAGCTTTAAATATTACAACTATGTACAACATTTGAGCATAGCCTGCATATCTACGGTGACCATCCGTTCTGTTTTTTGCAGGACCGTACTGTTTTTCAAAGGTCGGTCCTGCGTAGTTTTCAAACCTGAAAAACCTGAAAATGTACTGATTTTTTCCAGGTATCCTGCATTTGTCCCGCATTTTAATCGTTATTTTAAAATTATCGGACAACGGATGGGTTTTCTCAAAAAAGTGTTTTTAGGCACTTTTCGTAGCTTTTCTTCAATATCTCATGAAAAAGCTCCCAATCAACGTAAGCGACTTACAGCTCGAAAGGTATTAATATGCCTCTTACCAAAATATATAACTTGTGGCGACTTCAATGAAAATTATTAGTGCTACAGGCGACCATTTTCATTTTGTCATCAAAGTCGAAAAAAGTGAGATTTTCAATCAAATATGTAGTTTTATTCGATAATTTTTTTCATTAGTTTAAAAATTCGATAAAGAAGATATATCATTACAGTAAATTTTGAGCCAAAGATAATGAAAATCGGATTAGAAATGCAGATGCTATGCAGCGCAATCTGCACAATTTATATATTTTCGTAAAGGGCACATAAATACCTTTGTAACTCGTCGTTTACGTCGATTCATGACGTCGATTTTTGATAAATAACTGCGAAAAGTACCAAAAAACAAAAAAAGGGTATTGTTTTCATTTTGAACGACTCAAAATTTGCCTATAAAATAATCTTTTAAAGATTTTCACTTTTCGTGTAAGCTTTTGTTATTATAATATGTTTTACTATATAAATATTCATGTAATATCGATGAAGAAAACGTATGGTTACCGTATGCATATCGAAACGTAAGACGTATTCTACGTTAAAAACATATTTTTCGCGACTTTGACTTGGCAATTATTGAATACCATGATTACTAAACTCGTAAAAGTTTTCGTAATTTTTGTTTGAAAGTAAAATAATATAACTTGAATTTTTCTTTCGCATCATCTTGAGTAATACAAAATTTTAGTTAGTTACGGCTTTTTTGTATTTCAGCGACTATATGAGTTAGGGCCTTTCTATATTAAGGTAACACATATACATGTACATACATACATATATTTTGATAGGCATACTAAAAAACATAATGCAATAAATTAGTTTAAGTATTAAAAGCACACATGCATTTAAATATAAGAATCATACATATGTACGCTTGTTTTTGCGCTTCTTGTTTTGATATTTAATTATGCTTAGCAGCTATACATATGTAGTTTAGCTCATGACATTTTTGAGTAAACAAGTAGATCTTTATGTAGGTATGTACATTATGTATATTATTGCACATACATATACATTTTTATACTATTTTTTATGTGGATATTTATTAAAAGCAATGTCAGTTCATCTATATATATGTACATACATATCAATATATATATACGTATCAAGATGGAATAAACATCGTTTTGTAGAGGAATACATATTCTACATCAGAATTTTCAAGTCAAGACGATACATATCTGTATTTTTTATTAATTGCGGAACTATTTCGCGCTCAAGAACCAATTCGGTCTATCTAAATATATAAGTATGTAAGTCAAATGTTACAACAACCTAACATTCAACATAGTTCTGCATTAAACACATGCAGTTTCATGTTTATGAAATAAGCGAGAATCTGTTACGAGTACTTAGATCCCACTATGAACCTTATTGTCATAAGGGAGGTAGACCCTGGTTCCTGGTCTATGTGATTTGTCCATTTGCTTCTCCCCGGAATTCTAATAGATAAACTATATATATTTAAAGCAGAATAGTGGACTGGTGTAATCTAGTTTACGTAACTACTGGAAAGTGATCCGATTTCCGATTGATCGAACCCAAGGTGGCTTCATGTAAAACCTCCTGCAAAGATCGCTTCGAAGAAGATTTAATAAATTTTCGAGCGCCATGATGAGGGTGATGAGTAAGGCGGTTATGGTTTTCCTCGAACGGTGAGTAAGGTTCCTGTCAAGAATCACAGCGAGCTATTTAGCCTTCGAAGAAAGTGCGAGCCCCACTCCATTGAAGAAAGGCGTATGTTATTTTAAGGTTCTTCGTAAAAAGTACCATTTCGGTACTTTGGCGCAATAACTGTTCAAATCAATTTCCTTGATAAGTATTTAGGGTAAGGTTCGATAGTAGGAGTCCTCTTTAAGGGGTAATGCAGTTAGAAAAAAATTCAGCATTTTGTGGATGTTGCATGGATTACGGAGCGAAACTGGGTGCGACATAAAAAAATGCCCAGCACCATTTAGCAATCGTTTGTGAAATTACTAACAATGTTGGGTGTAAAAGCAATAAAACACACAAATACGCGCATATCTAAAGTGTTTTATTGACTTTTGATTATTACTCTCTTTTAATCATTTAAGTAAGCACTAAACTTTGCTTGCGCACCTAAGCATAACAATAGCTTATTATTTTTTCAATAAAACGGAGATATAAAAAATAGACTTTTGAAAACACAGCTCAGTGAAAAAACAATAAAAAAAATGTACATAGATATGGGCCATTCCATTGTGACTGGTGGGATATTTTACCGCAGAATGTGATCAATTGTGAATTATAACTTATGCAACAGCGAAAGTTATATGCATAACGTATGAAATTGCTTTAAAAAAAAATACCAAACGATTTCTTAGTTTTACATTTATGTAACTATCATTTGAATCAATGTGACTACGCTGGCACACTGAAAATAACTCTATTTTACCCTTGTGCACTCAAAGGTGAATTTTAGCCAAAACACTTTACTGTTTTTGTGTTGTAAAATATGAATTATACGCTTTCGTTTTCAACACAAATTGGGTTTATATAATCTTCATAGAAAATGTCTATTAGAAATATTAAAAAATATTTAAAGTTGTGACTGGTGGGACATCTTCTTGTGAATGGTGGAAAGTTTCCATATTTAGATAAAAATTATAACTTCTTTTTTTTTTAATATTTTACAACAGAGTAATGAAATGTAGTCATTTAAAAAGAGGTTACTACTGATATAGAGATAATTAGGGCATATTTAAATTTATGTAATTTCTATCTTTTACATGGAATGACCCATATGTACATTAGACCTTATACCTTACCTTACAGGCAAAAAAAGATCGAGCCTAGAGTTTTCTTTGCAATTTTTCAGAAAACTTGGTTTTGACCAAACCTATTTTTCGGGGGCACCAACATTCGACAATTAATTTTTGTACTGTAATAAGCGAAATACTTTTTAGTACAAGTTTAATTATTTTATTGATATAAGGGCAGTACCTTAGGGTGACAACACTTGAAATCTGTTGGATAAGTACTTCAGGTCAATGAACTTTAGAACAAAGAAAATTCGGGATAAAAACATCGATACATTAGACCTTATGATCCCACTGTAAATGCCGATGATATGGCGAAAAATTAAAAATTTTGAAAATATTGACAAAAAAAAGAAAAAATGTATGGAAAAAACACTCAGTGGTGTATGGCTAAATTTTTTTTCTGGTACGGTCTAATGCACAGACATATGTACATATGTAAATAATTGATGATTAAGAAAAATTATTGATTCTTCAGTATTTCTTTTATCACGGGCATGAAGCGTGTCTTTTCCCACAAAAGCAGTCAGCTGAAACAGCATTGTCTACTTAATAATAACAATGCTGATTTGAATTTATTATAAATTTTATGCCTGCATTACAAAATCATATTTTATTTTAGTTTTATGCTCTAATAAGCGCACTATGCCCATGCGTATGGAAATAGCATAGAAAACATAAATAAAAATAAAACGAAAATAGAAGAGGCAATAAAAAACAACCAAAAAATATGTAAATATGTATGGTTTATGTGCATATACATATGTATAGGGTACACGCGCACCCACACGAGCGGTACAACAAACTTACGTGAACCAATTTCCTCGCTTCTTTTTCTTTTTATGCTGCGTTTCAAGCAAAACAGATGCACGTTTCTCAGTCATTTTATGACAGGTCAGACGCAAAGAGTTGAATGAATTTATTTTCGTATATTAGTAAAAATAAATGCACGTTTTCGCAGAAAGAGCAATATAATTATACATACATACACGTCGCTATGTACATATGTATGTATGTATGTATGCGCAAGTCTATACAAATTTTAAATTTTCAAATTTGGCAACAATTTGACGGGGTACAGATTTTTCTAATTTTAGCATATTTTCTGAGTTACTTCGAAAATTTTCTTCTTTTTTACACGTTTTTACACTGTATTTACACTTGCAAATGAATGTTAACTAGTTGATTGTCTCTAATTGCACTGTTAGTAATACACTTAAGCACCTTTGAAGTTACTAGGCAGATCAGCTTGTACACATTGTTTATTTGCAAATTTCACTAGAATAGTGATTTTTATAATTTTTTCTGTGTTTTTTTTTCCAAGCGTTTCTCACTTAGAACTCCTTCGCTCGGAAGATTTTACTTTATTTTTACTGCAAAATATTGCGTCATTTTTACATCGCCACACGCCCAGTAAAATTTGTAGGGGGAAAAAAGACCGAAAAACTAGGCAATTCGTAGTACAATAAATAAATAGCAGAGTTTGCACGACGCGCTCGCAATTTGCAATGTAGGCAGTCAGTCGGCGAGAAAAAGCGAAAAGTCACATTTATTTTCGTTGCATATGCACTCTACTCTGCCGCGCTCAGCGTTCACCGGTCACACGCAGCAGCGAGTTCTATATGTATACACACCACGCACCACATGACAACAGTCCCCAGACCAAAATATAAACAAACAACGCAAAAACCTCAACGCACGCAATAAAACGACAACAAATACAACAAATGGCAAAAATTATAACAATAAAGCCGAAATGTATGCCAACCGATAGAAAAACAGAATCTCAAGAGTACGCATACACTTTTTTCACTACTACGAGTACGAAATTTGGCTTTTGACGCAAACTAGTCGGACATCAAACGAGTGGCGAGGCGGCAACCACTGTGGGGCGAGGCTGTTAGGGGGAAACGCGTTGTAAATATTCGTATCTAAGCTATATACTCGTACTATTTATTCCACAGCACTCTATTTTATTGTATATCAATAATTGTTAGCAGAATTACTGAATATGACTGATGAAAACCTGCACAAATAGTATATTTAGCGTTAAATTGGGTTGGTGCACACGGCGCGAATTTCAATTATAAACTAAAACGCCCTATCATGATTTGAGGACTAGTGATCGCCAGAGGGACGCAGTTCGAAAATGGGTGGCGGAAAGAGCACACTTATCTTGAGGAATAGGTATGCGCCTCTCAATTAGAGCTCACAAGTTAGTAAACAGCAAAGAAATGCTAGAAGTGGGTGGTGGTGACGGGAAAAGCAGTTTCAGCTAAAGAAATGTGTTAGAAGCGGCTCTCTTCAATGCTATTTTGTCTGTTCTATTTCTCTGTTACGAAATTAGCTAGAAGAAGTATAAGTTTTAGTGCTTGAAAAAAATCACATATGTATGCATACTCACAGTCTCATTCAGTTTTACACTCTCAACAAATGTTAGTGCTCTTTGTTCTGCCAGATAGCGTAGGGAATTGCTGGCACGCTAAGTGGTTTAATAAGAGTGTTCTCGTATATTTCATACGGTGTATGTGCATTAGGGTCAGCCAACGTTTTTTCCTACGAAAAAATGTATTTTCCCCATGTGAAGTACATACATATATGGAAGACTTTTAATCATTTAACGGGTTTTTCGAAATTGATGGAAGTTGGATTTTTTTTTTTAAATCGGGCAATATCCATGTCCTCCTCCTATATAACGGTAATTTACATGAATACGAAAACTGCGAAAAATCAGTTATTACTCAAGCTAATTTTCACAAAATTAATTTTCACAATAACCTTTCTTTTATGCCTTGAATATGTCTGAATATGTGCATTTCGGTAACCGATTTATACATTTTTACGAAACTCAATGTGTTGAAATTTTTTTTAAATCGGACTTAAATATTTTTTATTTAATTTTTTTATGTATGTTACCGCATATCCGATTTCGATAATTCCTTTTGCATCGGAAAGGTAGTGTCTCAGAGGTGGTCCCATACTAATCTGGTTAAGATCCGATCAGTGGATCATGATATATATATATATATATTTATGTTTTTTTATATGAGAGTTGAAGTCGGTTTTTTTTGCTAAAAATTACTTGTTAGTATAATGAAGTACACATTTCAAGTAGCAGCGGGAAAATTCAAAAAACTTTATTTTCCTGTGTATTTTTGGACCACCTTAATATACACACATATATATGCATATAAATATACATGTATGTACCCATACACATACATGTATGTATGTATATGGATGAATATATACAACCATGCATGTTAATATGAATGACGTCAGTGCATTTTTAATGTTGGTTCGACGGCTCTTAAGATCAGCTGTTTCACACGGTGTGGGGCAATCCCCATACAATGCAGTCAACTTGTTTGGTTTGCAGCGCATTGCTGACAACAATTACGGTTGAAATTTGATAAGCAAACGTGAAAAAGCGTTCGTTAATTTAGAAAATTATCATAATAAATGAATATTTTAGCTAGCTGTCGTCTTGCTGATTGCATGCATTTTCATACGAATAATGGGGGCTATGTTCAAATGTTGTAGTTGTAATTTTTAGAGCTTCACAAAAACGCTTATTGCACGAGAACTAATAAAGCGATTTCAAAGAAAAGTGTGGCGTTTCAAAGATAAAATTCCAAACCTGTCGACAGATT